TTTTGCTCGGCTCGGCTCGAGCCCGCAAAAAAGCTCGGCCATTTTAACCGGACCGAGCCCGAGCTAAAACTTTAGGCTCGCGAGCCGGCTCGACCCGGCTCGTTTACATCCCTAGTCACAATTCTTTCAAAGTTGAAGGATCCACTTTCTCAGTCTTGTCGTTATCTATTTCTTGTTGGGATTTTCCCAAGTGTACATAAAGGATGACATAATGTGATATGGAGAAAAAAGATTGGTTCAAAAAGTTGATCGTGTTTTAAAAAGACAAATGATAGAGTGTCACGTAGTATTATGAATACCCCTATGTATATGTTTTTGTACCTGTAGCACTACTCTTCTGTTGATATCTATTTAATATTTCTTATTGATTGCTAATAAGAAGGCATCTGACAGTTTCATTACGTTGATTGTATTGTGTTTTGGTTTTAAGAAAAAGGATTTTGCTCCAAATCCCAGGCAAAACAGACACTAACAAAGGCACCAAAGAAAATCCAAAACTCGTAGAAGTAGACAAGCCTAAATATATTCCCCATAGATTGAATTCATTGGAGTGTTTTATCAATGTCCGTAGAGAAAGATGAAAATTTAGAACTGACAACTTCTCTTTCCTTTTTGCTTTTGAATTTTGCTTGGTGTACATAATTTTTTGTGCATTAAGGTGTCACACACTCACATGGGGTGAGGCAGTTTACAACTTGTGTTATTCTTAAAATTATAATTCATTTTTCTCTCTTTTCTTGTCAACCGCATATTCTCCAGTAAAATAATACTACACGTAATTCCAAAACTTTTTCTTCCTTTTTAACCCACATTCTTCCAAAAAAAAAAAAAGAAAAAAAAAAACCACTATTCCAACCATTAATATTTCAAATAATGAGAGCTAAACGGGGGCTTAAAGCAACGTCCAAGATAGCTGCTGATCCATTTCCAGTCTAGTTCCTTCCATACTAGCGAACTTTTTATAAAGAACTTAAACAAACATCGAATTTCAAAGCAACCTTAGACATTTGTTTGATTTTACATTCATTTTTCGGACACTTTCTTTATGCTTGGATTTCAACTTATTTAGTCTCGCGTATTTATGATTTTACTAACAAGAGTATTGTTCATTCAATTATCAGTAAATATGTTGGAACTTTGAATGCTTTCCAATATTAGTATATTGATGCTGTTGACTGATGAGATTGGAAGAATGGATATTAAGGATATTTGCTTCAAACAAAGATCAAATTAAGACACTTGAAGTTCCGGAGATATGATATGAAACCATTTTTTAATTTTCTATTTTTAACATACTACTTGCATCATATGTGATGTATCAAACTTTAATTTAAGGCTTCTCTTTCTTAAATATATCATTGAAAGCAATTGGTATGATTAAGGCAACATCAAGCCATTCATAGCCATGTAGAAGTTAACTTTGGAACTTTCAACATTAGATAAACCTCCCTAACACCCTCACATCGTGAAGATTTAGATGTGTCACCTGGATACTGGATGTGGTTATATCCTTTATTACCATTTCATCGACTTGTTTGATATTTTTCCACAAATCCTTCTTCATATTTTTCTTTTATTTGTAAGTTTTTCAAAGGCTTCCAGATAACTGCATTTTTATGAGTCCAAATCTTTTCTAAGATTAGACTTG